GGGGCAGGCCGGGGTTGGTCCCAAGGACCTCCTCCCGTGTTCCCAGCACTGGCACCCTTGGCTGGTGCGTTGGTACTGGGAAGAGCAGAAGGATGCTGAGAAGGTTGGGGAGCAAGATGGCAGGGGACCCGCTGGCCGTAGCCTTCCTCCTGTGCCAGATGCACCTTGAGCATCTGCTGGAGGAGGGTAATTCCTAAAAAAAAAAGCTTATCCCCTGGTGAAGTCTCATAGCGGGCTGAGATATCTTTAGTTCTGAGTGTCCTGCCTGGCCACCCAAGGCCACACTTAAAGTGTCCTGACATCCAGAGGAGGGGATGGCCATCAACAACCCTGCCCAGCAGCAGGTCTTCCTGTGTAAAGTGTTTTCTTACTTGATTGCCTCGTTTCAATGGAGTCAAGCCCAGCCAAACACCTCGTGCTGCCCCAGGCTCCGTCACTTTGTGCAGCAGGGAGGACGTGCGTGGCGCTGTGCGGCTGGGCCAGCGGTGCAGCCTCCCCAGCCCTCGCCATGCGCAGCGGGACGGCAAACCTAGAGGTGGCCTGAGAGCTCTGCACTTAGGGTGACGCTGAGGATGGGTGGGGAAAAGCGGAATGCAGCCACGAAATCATCTCCCCAGGGCAGAGGCCTTCTCCTGCAGCTTTGGGCTTGGGGTAGCTGTGGAAACCTCTCCCTGCCCCACCCCACCCCAAAAAAACCTAGGTCCAGTTGGAAGCACAGCGCAGTGTCTTTTTTTTTCCCTTGCCACGCTCTCCCCTTCTGTGCTTGGCTGAGTAGGTGCATCCCCGTGGGAAGGTCCCAGCTCTTCGGGAGCCAGCTCTGGGGGCTCCCCTGTGCCAGCCCCGCTGACACCGCTGCTCTCTGTCCCGCAGATCTCCAGCGGCTCTGCTGGGAAGGAAGTGCTCACCAGCATATTCAGTGCCACTGCGGAAACCCTCTCCACTTCCACCACTACCCACGTTACCAAGGTAAGAGCGGCTCCGAACGGGGCAGCTGGGGGGTTCCTGATGCAAGCCACTGGAATTTAAGGATGGGTGGATTTATGCTGTGGTTGGTACAGCATAAAACGCCCCTCTCCTTACAAGCTGAAAACGTGTACGCTGTCCCGCGGGGAAAGGCGAGCTGGCACAGCGCACCGTGCCCCACTCCGAGCGTCCTGTGCCCCGTTCAGCCCTGCTGTGCTGCCCGTCCCATCCGGCCAGGTGTGACCGCGGGGGACCGCAGGCAAGGACGGCCAGGCATCGGGTGTTCATCACCCACATACCACCCAGAGGGACTGGGAACACACGCTGCGCCCACCTCTAGTTAGATTGGGAAGGCAGGGAGTGGTCGGGGTGAGAAGGAAGAGCAGCGTGCAGTGTCGCTGAGCTCCTGCGGCCAGCTGCAGGGGTGGGGGGGCTCTGGGGTAGGCTGCCAGCAGCGTGCATGCGAGATCCTGCCCGTGCAACTGGGGGGCGTGTTCCCAGACGCACCCAGAGCCAGACCCCCCATCGCCCTGGCCCAGGAAGTGCACAGCACCAGTGCTGGAGCATCTCGCCTTGCCTCAGCTGTGGGAGCAGTGTTTGTGTGGGGCGTACTGGGTTTATTAGAGCCGGAGTGGCGCAGGCAAGGGGGGGTGATGTTAGGAAATGAAGGAGATGAGGCTGCATCAGAGGACCTCACCCGTGGCCATTTCATTCCCAAATTAAGCGCACATAAATGAAAGCAGAAGTTAGCAGAGCTCTGACTGCCAGGAGCTGGCTTGTCGGCCGGCTGTGGGTGAGTGCTTTCCTTCTTGTTGTGCAGACTGTGAAAGGAGGGTTTTCAGAGACCCGAATAGAGAAGCGCATCATCATCACAGGAGACGAAGACGTGGACCAGGACCAGGTAGGAGCAGGACACCCTGGCTTTGCCTGGCTCTGGCTGCCCCCGGCTGCAGCACCGCATGCTTCTGGTGCTGGCTCCTACCTGTTTACTCCTTCTTTCCAAAAACTGACCCCTGAGGCCCCAAACCTACGAGCTGTGCCCAGCAGCGCAGGTCCCCATGGGGGGCACTGGCCCCCACCTGAAGCCCCAGCCCAGCTCCCATCAGCGAAGCAGTGGTAAAGGGTACATCCCAGCACAGAGCCCAGGGGTGGGATCAGCTGTTTATTTTCTTAAAACACGTTTCCAGTTGCCCTTTCTCTGTTGAAATGCTCCGGTGACCCGGGTTCTTCCTCTCTTTCCAGCCCAGTTTCACTCCCAGTGATGGTGTTTTGCATCTGCCTCCGTGACAGAGGAACAAAAAGTGATAAACTTTTATGATGAAATAACAGCGATTGATACAAACCTCTAGGGCCGCAGGGTCATTTTCCTGTGGCCTAACCCTTTGGGATTTGTTGCTTAAAAATTAAAGAGCTAAAGTATTTTAAAGGCTCTAAAATAATTTTTATGGGGTTTTTTTAGAATTATAAAAATAAATTTAATTAGATTATTATTCTAGATTTTTCTAGGGTTTTGCTGCATAGAGAATTGCTGCTGTTCCTTTGTTTGGGTTTCAGTAGGGAGCCTGGGACATAGCACATCTCTACAGAAAAAAACAGCAAGAGAAGGGCAGTGCATGTGGCATCCCAATGGTGTTTGAATCCCCAGTGGGTGGTGGGCTCCAGCCTCTTCTGCCAGGCTACTGTGGGTTCAGCTTTGAACCTCTGCATCCGTGTCCTCCTGGCATCCCACTCGGCTCCAGCTGCTTTCAGCCCGCTGGTTCCGTCCGAGAGAAACGTGCCAGATTCCAGGGAGGTGATGATAAATGCTTTCGTCCTTCTGGTTT